CTACAGTGATGACTCAGCAACCCGTTGAGGGCTCGGCTCCCAACTCACCAATTCGGGGACTTGCGACCAGAATGACCCATATCCGGCTCCAGGAACCACTTCCTTCACGACCCACAACACCGCATAAAGAGGCTCCGTCACAAAGAGACCAAGTCACCAGCTTTGGTACCCTTGCACTTCCTCCTCAACACCTTCAGTCGAAGCTGAGGCCTCGTGAGATGCACCCAACATTCACAAGACTGGGGGGCAACCTCCCTTTCGCCCACCTCGCGCCATAGCAAACTCGGAGCTGAAGCCAAGGACCTTTATGCAGGTGCAACCAACCCGAGGCCTTGCATGAGCCTCGGCCATCCTCGTAGTTCAAAGGCATACCAATGCCACTACAAGCCACAACGTGCATAGGTCCATCGACGCCTCCTGGTATGAAACAATGCACTCCCTTTGGCCGAAGCCAAGGCCCCTCCTATCTCAGACCCCCACCCCGGCCTCAGGAGTGGGGGCAAATGATGTAGGCGCATCCATTTGGGCCAATGGTGAGCCTACATGCATTAGGCGGCAAAGGACAGAGTGGAACCAATCAGGTCGCGGGTAAAGCTGAAGTCAGCACATCGTGCTAGACCAATCAGGGCGCATGCTAGGCTGGGCTTAGCAAGCCTCGCGGAGCCAATCATAAGCCCTCACCTAGCGCTCGCAGATGATCGCACCCTCGGTACGGACTACATCCAGGTCGTCTGAGGTCACCTACGCCCTAGCGGCCTCAAGTATAAATAGGAGGCAACCCCCTCCAAGTAAAGGATCGAATACTCCGGCTCTCTAACTCACTCTTAGATTAGCTGCTCTTCTGTGACCTCGTCTGGGTGTTCGCACCTCAGTCCTCGTCCACCTCGTACCCTCTTACTAACTTGACCGTCGGAGTCCTTGCCTCGGGTCTTCACCTGAGGCCTCTGAGGTTCTCCTTCCCTACAGAACCGATACCGGAACCGTCATCTACCTCGAGTACCGAACACAGCAAATATCGGACCTCGGACCACGGATCTCCCTCATCTCAGACTCCACTCCTCAGCCACGCATGTCCTCGGACTTCCAATACCTTGGGTCTAGTTGGACTTGGGGGTGAATTGACAATGTTGACCTCGGCCAATCCGAGCATCAACCAGCTTGTTTGCCCCGATTGCTTACAACATTCTGCTTCCTTTTCAGTTTTAAGATACAGAACAATTCCATCCCAAATGCATTGAAATTTCTGGAAGGTTTCTTGAGTGTGGTCTAAGGTAGAATCGCTTACCTCTTGATTGGATATGATCTCCACCCAAATGTCATCGGCATCATAGGCCACTCCTTTGAGGTTTCCTAGATAATTTGGTCACCTATCTTCGTAAAGCAGCTCGACATCTGCGTTTCTGGTGAGCAAGTCTATCAGGCCTCGAATTTCAGTCCATAGTTCCAACAAATTTGGAAGTTTTGCTTCTTCCCTTTTGTTGCATTTTCTCTGTTTCCGCCATGATTCAAGGTCAAGTAACAACTTGATAATATCGGGGATAGCGGTAGCAATTGGAGCTATAAGTTGAAGAGGAACCATAGCCATCTGTTTATGAATCCATAATGAAATCACCAAAATGAGTTTTCTACACTGTGTCCATTGCACCAAGTGAGACTAAAAATTCATTCCAATTTCTATCTACATCTATAGTCAAACAGAAGACCAACTAATCCAATATGGTATGGTATTTTCAATATTATTTTGAATTTAATAAATTATTTTTATTTTTTATGATTTGTAGTTGTACTAATTATTAAATATTTTATTGTTTATTATTTTTTATTATATTAATTATTAAATATTTTACGAGATAGTATAAATTGAATTCAAAATTACTAAATAGTCTAAGGGTAAAATGGTAAAATCAAGGAATTTCATGTGCTAAAGGTTTAATCAATACAAACAACCTTATCTATTCAAAGCCTCTAAAATATAGAAAAGCACCTATGCCTCTTTTCAGATTTCATATACAGAATATCTTTTTTTAACTTTTCGGATTTCAGATTTATCAAATGCCACCTAAGGCTTTAGACATTCAGTGGAACTCAAAATTTTAAAAAATTACGAGTTGATGGGTCAGGTGCCCACCTAATGGCTTTTTAGAAAGGTTTTTTTTTTTTTGCCAACTACTATCATGCACTCTCATATAGAATTGGGATATGTTGGAAAAACCAAAAAAACCAGGGATAGAATTGGTATGAAAAATCAGGGTCTTTTGACCACACTAATTGAATCATTCTCATTTTTTATATATGGTAGTAGATATAAATTCTTATTTTATTCTACAATTTTAGTTCATTTTTTTGTAATTTATGGTTTTTTTTGTTTGTTTTTGTAATTTATGTTTTTTTTCAATATTTATGATTTTTTATATTTTTTTGTAACTTTTCTCTATGTTTCTTTGTTTTTTTGTAATTTATATTATTTTCTTCATTTTTTTGTGTTTTTTCACAATTATTTTGCAATGACAATATATACAATGGGAAAAAATAGAAAGTTGAGGGTAAAGTTGTAAAGTAAAATCAGGGTTTTTTTAACCAAACCAATTGCAACATTCTCATTTTTCGGTATGGTATAGATTTGTAATTTATGTTATTTTTTTACAATTTTTATGATTTTCTATATTTTTTGTAAATTTTCTATGTATTTCTTTATTTTTTATAATATATATTATTTATTCATTTTATGTGATTTTTCATAATTATTTTGCAATGACATATATATAATGGGAAAAAATAGAAAGTTGAGGATAAAATTGAAAAATAAAATCAAGGTGTTTTGACAAAACCAATTACAACACTCTCATTTTTTAGTATATGGTATAGAAATTTCTATGAATTTCTATATTTTTTTTGTAAATTTTTTATGTATTTCTTTATTTTTTTGTAATTTATATTATTTTCTTCATTTTATGTTTTTCATAATTATTTTGCAATGGCAATATATACAATAGGGAAAAATAGAAAATTGAGGGTAAAATTGGAAAGTAAAATCAGGGTGATTTGACCAAACCAATTGCAACATTATCATTTTTTAGTACTAAATTAATATTAAGCCCATAATAGGATTCTTATTATCTAACTAAAATTAATATTAATTCAATAAGAGGTGTCTTTTGTATCCTTTTCAAGTTTTGGTGTTTATATGATTCATGGATTTTTAATTTTTATTCTAAATATCAAGGTGAATTTATAGAATAATTGAATGATATATGATTTCAGCAAAAACATAAATAACAATAAATTATTAGTTATGGGATCTCCAATCACCATTTAGCATCCTTATGTTTCATGTGTGTAATTGATAAGAATTTATGGATGGTTGCAATGAGTTAAATGAAAATAGTAAGTAGCAACAAGGTTAGCACTAGAGAGTGTATGTGGCCATTAATGATAAGATCAAATACTTGAACGATCAAAAAAGAACATTGAAAAACAAAAATTGTTGAGGGTAAAGATGGAAAGTAAAATCAAGATATACAACCATGTTAACAATTTGCATTCTCATTTTTTATTGTTGGAAAAAGTTTGATGGAGTGTATGTCCTCATGAATCATGATAATTAAATAAATTACTGGAAAAACAAAAATTATAGAGGGTAAAAAGGGAAAGTAAAATCAGACTTTTTAACTAAAAATTAGCATATGGCCTCAAGAATCATGAGAGTTAAATAAATTACTGGAAAAACAAAAATCATAAAGCATAAATAATGATAAATATCAGGGTGAATTTATAGAATAATTGATTGATATATGATTTCAGCAAAAACATAAATAACAATAAATTATTGGTTATGATCTCCAATCACCATTTAGCAGTCCTTATGTTTCATGTGTATAATTGATGAGAATTTATGGACTTGCAATGAGTTAAATGAAAATAGTAGGTAGCAACAAAGAGCACCAAGCACGAGAGAGTGTATGTGGCCATTTATGATAAGATCAAATATTTGAATGATCAAAAAAGAACATTGGAAAACAAAAATTGTTGAGGGTAAAGATGGAAAGTAAAACCAAGATACAACCATATTAACAGTTTGCATTCACCTTTTATTGTTGGAAAAAATTTGATGGACATCATATGGCCTCATGAATTATGATAGTTAAATAAATTACTGGAAAAAACAAAAAATTATACAAGGTAAAAAGGGAAA